GCATACGATACCACCAGACTGAAGTTACTCTTCGGCACGAAGGTGTTAATCAAGGGACAGCGGGGCACACATCCCATTGGAGTTGGAGCCGAGGGAATCGCAACTATTGTCTCTAATCCAAAGATTCCACCGTGCGAGTTTTTCACACCGGGACGTTCTTACCCAGTCTGCCTCCGTCATTCGACCATACAGTCCGTGGATGACATATTGATTGACTTCTGTGGCGGGTCCATAAGATTTGCCGGAAGTGATGATATGGAAAGTCCTTGCGATATTGTTATGGGGACTGGAGAGACAACACCGTTGTGGAGCGCTCAGGCCATTTTTGATGCAGTGAAAGCCAAGATTTCAAAAGATTTGAAAACTTATTTGCTGATAGGACCTGACCAGTAAGTGAATTGTTGGGCCATTTAAACACTGATTGTGAGGCGGAGGGCTAGTGTTTTCACCTCATTCATTTATTTACTTGCTTTACTATCTGCTATTACATTCGTTTAGGGGACAAAGAACCCTAGTTTTCTTTGCCTCTTATATTTGGCTTTTTTACCGAGTTAACAGATACTCTCAACTGGTATACAAGAGGCACCAGTGGATCCGCGTTGAAGTCTGAATAATTTTTGTTCGCTCGATTTCCAGCTTAATATTTACCGAAAGATTATAAATATCTTGCAATAATTTTATTACTTGCATTGAAGTTTAGAGTAGTTTTTACTGACTTTTGTAAAACCAAAATAATCACAATGAGGACTCAAAGTTAAAACAGGTAAACTACCAGTAGCGCGGAAAAACGCAGGCGACTAAGCTATGATTGCTTTCGTTTGTCGTCTGATTTGTAAATCAGAGATTACTTTCTTCTCTCAATTGAAAATTGCTCTCTACGTGAGGATCATTTCGTTACATTCAAAGAAACGATAAAATAACGGACATCTTATAAGATGAACTTAACTTGTTTAGCTCTACAATCACACAGAAGTATAAACCAAATCAAATCACACGTGATATGTTGTTTAGCGAAGTGTTAAAAACTTGTAGAAAGGGTTAAAAAAAAAGTCTTAAAAAATATTTTACTTTATTCTAGAATTATGAGAATGTATTTACCATCTTGGATTTACCTTGTCTTAAACAGCCTAAAAGCCAACATTGGGGGCTTGCGCCAGAAGCCTGAATCGTTTTACGACCAGCGTTACTACTCTGAGGCGATTTTCGAATTCAAAGCGTTCGATGGTGTTAAGCGTTACGTCAGATTCCGTATGATGCCCGCTGATGGGCGGCCAGAAACAGGCTTATTGTCTGAGGAAGTCCAGCAGCATCCATGGTGAGGAGTAGAAACATATGAAAATCCTAGCCTGCTTATCTTTGAATCCAATTTTGATAGAATATCTCAAACTGCAACCTTCATTTGTATCTTCCTGAGCTTCCATTAGTATCTCTTGCCTCGTTTAACCGTAGGAAAAGAAATGCATTCGTTTGATTCGTACAGTACTTCCCCATCTTCAAAGTATTGCTTATTGCTATTGGTGGGTGTGGATGGAGACAAGAAAGCATTAGGATAGTATTTTTGGATCCTCATTGTAAACAGATCCCACAAAACTTTTTCGCATATCAGAGTTAGGTCCGCGTCCTAAGTTTTATACTGATACAAACTGACAACTGGAGATACGTGTTAGCCAGAGTTATTTAGAATTCAATATAAGCTATGCTATTATCTTATTCACGTTCTCTTGTTGCCTTCGAAATGAAGGAGGAATGGGAGATCACCCGTTTAGACGAGGTGACAATTAATTCAATGTGATAACTACCTTTATATCACTATAGGCAAAACCGAGGTTTATGGCGCGAAAAGTCCAGCTTGTCTTTCTCTCACCAATATTTGAGTGAAGTTGAATTTTATTTTGGGCTAAAAGATTCCATTCAGTGTATTTCCTGCAAATGAAATAACCTAAATTAAAAACAGGATGTAAGTTTTCAAAGTCCGGAATGAACAAACTCTGGTCCAAAAAAGTCAATTGGATATTTTATCTCCTTACAGGATAAATGAAAGGTCACCCGATGAGACCTTACCAATGGACTATCTCAAGCGTGAGTACAGAGAGAGAATTTCCAAGGGACCACTCGACTATAAACTACAGCTGCAACTTCATGAACCTAAGGAAGGTGATGTGCCATGGATACTTCATGTTGGGAGGGAATGGGACGAGGAAACGCACCCGTGGTTAGATTTGGCTGACATCAAAGTGACGTCATTACTGTCTCCAACCGCAACGGAACGCCTGAAGTTTATATATCTAAACCTTCCAGCGTCAATTGGTCTTTTGCCGGCCGTATCTGTTGATGATCCTAATGTTGTTCTTCACATTCGTAACGAAGTGTACCTCTGGTCTCAGAAGCTACGGAAAAACAGATCAAATAAGCTTGTCCCAGAGCACCTCGCGTCCTATCTTATCCGTGTGGAAACTGGATCTCAGTCTGGAGCAGGGACGGACGCCTCCATTTCTATTTCGTTGACAGGTGAAGTTACATTTAATATACATGACTTTTTTTTCTTTTTTTGCTTTACACACTAGCCATTTATTTTCTTTTATTTTTCTTTTCCTCTGCAGGTACTAAAGGAAAGACAGATCGTATGAAGTTGGATAACTGGGGCAATGACTTTGAGAGAGGAGACGTTGACGAGTATATGGTAGAAGCGATGGATGTTGGCAAAGTTCTAATGGTGCATCTTCATAACGACCAAGGTGGCTGGTGGTACAAAAATGCTGATTGGTTTGTCAACAAAATCGCGGTGATAAGTTCCTCTCAGGATGAGCCATTTGAGTTTCCATGTTATCGCTGGGTGCTATCGGATTTGGTAGTATTTGAAGGGAGAGGTAATCTGAAACAAGAGAATAGAAACTGTTTACATCTTCTTGTCCGAAAGCATTGTCCCATGTTTGACCATAAAATTCAAAACTAAAGAAAAGACAAAATGTATTTCTTTTTTCTCGAGCTATAAGCATGCAGAATAAAACGATAAATTCTCTACAGTTTTTAGCATGTTCATTTTGGCCTCAAATAACATCGGAAGCGAGAGAGGATGCCAACCAACAACATTTTTCATCACTTCTAACTACTATGATTGTAAGCCGATGAGGTAACAGCTGTAACAGGTCTCTTTGAACCTTTATTTGCAGCTATTCTTCCATTTAAAGAGCAGCCAGATGCCCTCAAAAGTCAGAGAACTCTTGAAGTGAGAAATCGCCAGGAGCTTTACAAGTGGGGAAATAAGGAAGAGTACAAGTATCTTCCTGGGTATCTTCAAGCTGAGACACACGCCGATATCCCAAGAGATTCACAGTTTTCCGACGAGGCCAGGGGTACCTTAGAGGATAACCAGCGCAAAGCGGCTGTCGACCTCGGTCTTACCTATCTGACTTCTCTTTTCGATAGCTGGGATAATTTTGATGATTTTGAGAAGATCCTTCACAGAGCATGTGATGGTAGCGTACCAAAGATCGTCGAGAATGACCGATGGAAGACCGACAAGGCATTCGGGTCAATGTTCTTAAACGGCGTTAATCCCAACGTTATCCGACGTTGCGAGAAGTTACCGAGTAATTTTCCAGTCACTGAAGAAATGGTGAAGACACTTTTGGATCGTGGAAAGACACTGCAAGAAGAGATGGAGGTACTTCTCTTAAATTGTCCGGAAAAATCTTTATGATAAGTAAGTATTTCACCTGTACGATATGGAAACAATCTTTTTCCTGGATGGAAAGTTATCGTATTCCGTTGCACTTCACTGAAGAAGCTTTTCTAAAATGTATTATCTCAAAATAAAATCTGAATCCTCGAAAGTCATCAAACCAGTGGAAATGTAAACTGAATCAAATATTATAAGATGGAACAGAGATTTATTTTTTCCACCCTCCTAACAATCATTATTTCACACATTGTTTTCTTGTTTTTATAAGGCAGGTCATGTGTACATTGTTGATTACAAGGTGCTTGAAGGAATTCCTGAAAAAAAGGGAAATCACTCGGCCCAACCTTTAGGGCTGCTTTATGTCGATAAATCAGGTGACTTGGTGCCCATCGCCATTCAGTTACTACAGCAACCAGGTGACACCAATCCAATATGGACTCCAAGTGATTTACAATATGATTGGCTGTTGGCAAAGATGTGGCTTCGTTACGCTGACAATACGATTCAGCAGGTATTTCGAAGATCTCAGTACCTCATTACTGAATTATTC